TTAAGAACAAGCAGAAGGTGACGAGGTATCGCAAGGACGGCAGTCAAGCCTTTGACGCCTTGGTGGAAAGGTTCAACGAGGAACCAAAAACCAAGCAAATCAGACTGAGAAACGTTTACAAAAAGAAACGTGGACGCATCCCAGGATCCAGGAGAGCGAAGAAGGGAACAGTCAAGGCCGAGACTTGAGGAAGTGAAGGCACTGGTGCGGTAGAAACCGCATGCTGAGCCAATGCAGGGGCGGAGGTGGACGGCGGAGGTGCTCAAAAAACGATCTGTAACTCTTTTTTTGGTGTACCATCAACGAGAAATACCTGGCCAGTCTATAGATTATGGTCGTGTGGGGTATACATGTATACTATGACAAAATAACTTTTTCAAGCCTGCCAGATGAGCAGGCGCAACTTCCATCTCTCTCTTGTAGCCCCTCTCGATTTACACAAAGTCAAAAGTATCACCCTTCTCCTGGATCATCTTGCCTACGCGCTGCGTGCCGACAATGCGCTCCAGTCTCATGACGTCGTATTTGGAGAACATGGCCCTGATGGTACCCTGTCCAGGCTCAATCAGAAGGTTCTGCTCGCTATGGGCAAGGTAACCTCCAGCGATCTCGCGATAGAAGATCGGGTTGTCCGGCAGACCGTACATGATTACCCGCTGAACGCCGCGCAGGTTGTACCGTCTGAAGTGGTGCGCACGCTCCGTATACAGAAGAACCTTGTGCCGGCCGGTTGTGAAGTGAGAGCGAGCGCGGGATACTTCCGGGACCTCCGAGTATTCGGAAATGGTGCCGAAGGAGAGAACCCCGACGGCGGCATTGGTGGCGAAGTAGTTCCTCACGCGGACGAAATCGAGGTAGGAGGGGATGAAGATGAGGGTTCCGCTGGTGTCCTTGGCGCGCTTGATGAGGGAGGGGAGGATCGCCGAGACGAAGTAGTCGAAGCGGGCGTCGGGTTCCTTGTCGATGGACTTGGCCTCGAAGCGGGAGAAGGTCTGGCGCGCCTTGAGGCCGAGCTGCTGGAGGACGCCAGAGTAGTCTGCCTGGAATCGAATCTTGCCGGCCCAGTTATGGCATTGGGTGCGGAAGAGCTCCGTCAACTCTGGCGTGTTGAAGGCGGAGAGGATGACGGTCTGTCGGAAGTACTTTGACCAGTCCTCAAGATACCAACTGCGCACACGACTGAAGTCACACCCGTGGGCGTCCTTGGGCTGGAGGTTCATATGCTCAAAGATGTACTCAACATGCTCCCAGTTCTGCATGAGCTGGGCGTCGGCCTGGTCGACCACAACCAACTCAATGGAACTCAAAAAGTCGTAATCCATCTTCTTCTTGTCTTCCTCGGAGCCAATGGCCATCCGCAGACCCAAGGGACTGGCGAAAAGAATGTCCGAGTTGTAAAACTGGGAGAAGTACTTGATGGTCTTGCGGGTGAACTTCATGCCGATGCGAAACATGTCGTCGTCGTTGCCTTCAAAGAGGTCGCGGAAATCTTCAGGCTTGTCGTCGCCAAACTTTACCTCTTCGTCGATATAGGCTTCCTCGAAACGCTTTCTGTTTTCGCGCTGGTCGGGCGCGCAGAGCGCTTCGATGGTGTTCACCATCTTCAAGCACGACTGTCGCGTTGGTAGAATGAAGAGGACCTTGGGACGTGTGAAACCCTGATCTCTCAGCTCCAGGTCGGCATTTTCTTCCTTGGCCAGCTTGTAATTGTTCTTGATGACGCGGTCGCGAGTTCTACGAAATGTTAGAGAAGCCCCTGAATTCCGTCGGTGTGTGAGAGGAGCTTACTTGAAGACATGGTTGACGGCATGCAAGCACACGAGCTGCCTCAACCCTTCCGAATTCTTGATGTCGCGATTGTCGTATAAGACGTCGTTATAGTTGAAAAGAACCGGTGCCATTGCTTGCTGCAACGTGTTAAGTGGCGAGATCTTTTTCGATGCAGACTCTTTGAGCTTCTGCTTGAGCTTGAGGCTCTCCAAGCTTGAGATTGGTGATGGAATTGACGGCGCTTCTGAACCTTCAGACTGAGGATACGTGACGACAGCCTTAGACACCTTGGACATGCTTCGCTTGAAAGTCCAGCCGTTCTTCTGAATCGCCTTGACCTTTTTCGTGTAGGTGTCTTCATCGGGGGTCGCAAAGTGGTTGTCAAACGGATCCGTCGCATCAACATCATCTTCGTCGTCGCTTTCCGCCTCCTCATCAGCGAGATCGGCTGAAGGATCCTCTTCCTCGGCCTCATCAACCCTGTCGACGTCCTTCTCACCAGCGTCCTCATCTTCATCCTCGTCTTCAGAAGACTCCTCTGCTGCTGCTGTCGCCTTGGCGGCACTCTCAGGCTTGCCGCTGTCCAGTTTTCTCCTCTTTGCACTCGGCTCTGTGGATTCTGTGAACCCTTGCAAGAGTGCCATGTAAGGACGGGAGTTCTGAGGTTGCTCATCCACATCTTCGTCCTCATCATCATCAGACATGGAGACATCAGAGTCTTCCTCCACTTCGGAATCCATCTCCTCACCAGACTCAGAACCAGACGACCTGGTTTCATTAGTTTGTGGAAATTGACCCAGAAACAGACAAACTTACTCATTTTCTTCCAGACGGGCAGTGTTGAAGCGAGATCGACCCGGGCCGCCTCCTCTACCTCTGCCTCTGCCGCCTCTCCCACCACGCCCGCGAGCACCACCTCTTCCTCCTCCCCTGAAGCCAGCACGGCCTCTGCCTCGAGGACCCATTCTCTTGAGAATTATTCACTGAAATAACCAAAACGAAGGTGAAAAGTGGGAAATGAGACAAACAGACACGCATTCACCTGGTCGCAAAAAAAAAGTTGTAAGTCGGCCATGCTCAGCATTGCAGAAATTCCACACCAAAGTCACCAGCCACAGCGGGGCCGTCCGACGCCTCGAAAAACTTCTTATCGGTGCTTATCTTAGCGCGCACAACCTAGTCCGAATCGCAAAATCCCGCCCGCCAAAGCGAAAGGGTACGCCCGCGCCGGTGCAGAGAGTTTCGAGAATTTTGAACGACCATTTTCCATCGCGAATAGGGACCCGAGACGAATCCACTTTGCCAGCAGTCAATTTTGGCCCGTCCACCACTGCCCAAACCCGCCCCTCCCTCCTCCTCCTGTCCTGCCTCCCCTTTCTCTCCCAAACGCAACAAACCTCTCTTACGTCGGCCAACTATTTCGACAACATACCTGCCCAGCATGGCTGTCGCCGAAACTGAGAAGTTCCTCCACCTCTCGCGGCCCATCGCGCCGGCGACGGTTGGCCTTCAGGGCACTATTGCCCCGCTCACCGTCAACATCCAACCCCAGGTACGAACACCTCGAACTCATGCGCTGCAGAACCTCATCGTTTGCGCCTGAGCCACGCACTATGCAAATGTCATCATAGCTTTTGCATACAGCATATACACCTCTTCAACCTTGGTCGTCGACCCCTCTTTCAGTTCACCCCAAGCTAACGCTGCCCCTCCCCCATAGGCCATCCTCTCCATTCTCGACCATGCCGTTCGAAGAGACATCCGCGATACGCAATCAACCCGCGTTATCGGCGCCCTCGTCGGTGTCCGCTCCGAAGATGGCACCGAGGTCGAAGTGCGCTCCTGCTTCGCCATCCCTCACACCGAAAACGAGGACCAGGTCGAGGTGGACGTCGACTACCAGAAGAACATGCTCGCCCTCACCCTCAAGGCCTCCCCGCGTGAGTCCCTGCTGGGTTGGTACACCACCACCCACGAGCTCAACTCCTTCTCCGCCCTGATCCAGAACTTCTTCGCCTCCCCGGACACCGGCACCTTCCCCCACCCCGCCGTCCACCTGACCATCAGCACCGACCCGACCGCCGAAATCGAGGCCCGCTGCTACATCTCCGCCCCCGTCGCCGTCAACGCCGAGCGCGCCGCCGAGAGCTGCCTCTTCATCCAGGTGCCTCACAAGCTCATGTACGGCGACGCCGAGCGCAGCGCCCTCGAGGCCATCTCCATGGCCAAGGACAACGAGGACCGCGTCGCCCCCGTCGTCTCCGACATCGAGGGCCTCGCCCGCTCCATCGAGCAGGGTACCAACCTGATCGAGCGTGTCAGCGAGTGGGTCAACGGCATCCTCGACGAGGACGAGGAGCCCAACCACGCCCTCGGCCAGTACCTCATGAACGCCCTGTCTCTCGCCCCCAAGGTCGACCCCTCCCAGATCGAGCACGACTTCAACAACCACATCCAGGACGTCCTCATGGTCTCCTACCTCGCCAACACCATCCGCACCCAGATCGACCTGTCGCAAAGGCTGGCGACGGCCAACCTCACCGGTGGCGAGAAGGATGGCGAGGGCAAGGCGGCCGAGGGCGGCGAGAAGGGCGAGCAGCGGGGTCAGCGGGGTGGCAAGCGTGGTGGACGTGGCGGCGGCCGTGGTGGTGGCCAGAACAGAGAGCCCAGGGAGCCTCGGGAGCCCCGCGAGCCGAGGGAACCCACGGAGTAAATGCAGCTTTAATTGTCGACCAACCAAAAAAAGGGGTTTGCACAGTACATTCTTTCTCATGGAAAATTCTGTGAGAAGATGGGGGGACATAAAACGGGGAGAAGGGAACCGTCGGAGGTTGAAAGAGCAAGTAAGCCAGCAGGCGGTGCTGATATTTTTTCCATCCCGCCGCAAGGTAGCAAGCATGGCATCATGAGGAATTCCACACTTGAAAAACCGTCATGGCGTTATGGCAGTGGCAGGATAGACGGCCTAGGGTTAGAATGCGCTAGGCAGTTGCAATGATGATATTCACGCTTTCATGCACAAGTTCAGCATAACACACATATTTCACATGACCTTTTGAGAGATAAAACCTGAGTGACAATTAAGTTGCGTAAAGTGCTCTAGCATGCAATAGCCTACATGATCTGATGCCATCCTGTCCTCCGTTTGAACGCCAATATGCTGTACCTTGTAAACCCCCAGACGCCAGTCGTTCTACCAGAGACCATCTACAGCGACGTCAAACGCGCACCTAAACGCCCATGTTCGGCTTTTGCGGCAAAGTAGCAGGGTTGCCGTAGTGCGGCAGGTGGCTGAACGTCTGTCCGGCCGGGCCCTGAGGGATGACGGGTTTGTTAGGGATGTGAGGAGACGGGTTTTGGGGGAGATGTTGAGAAGGATGCTGCGGCGGAATGTGAGGACCCGGTGCTTGGGGGATGGTGTTGAGATGGTGAGGGTGTTGTGACGGCGGGCCGTGGTAAGAGGGAATAGAGTTGTTTGACCCCTGTCTAGCCATACCATAACCTGCTACAACGCCGTACGGTGCAGGCGGGCCCGGTTGCTGATATCCGGCATACGCCAGGTGAGGTGAGCCGATCTGGGGGCTGCCATGATGGGATCCAGGGGCGCTGAACGGGGGTTGAGGCGGCTGCATCGGAGCCATGCCGCCACCCGGGACAAATGATTGCGTCTTGGGGTTGAAGGCGTGACGGTTGTAGCTACCCGGAATGGGATGCTGGCTCTTAGGGTCATTGGGGTTGACATTGGCTGGCAGCTGCCCGTACATATAAGGCACAGTGCTCTGTCCAGGCGGAGCGGACATGCCCCGCGGGGTGTAGGATGCTGCATTAGGCCCGGATGGCGGCATCGCCGCCGGAGCCGGACCTGGCGCAAAGCCCTGCTGCCAGCCGGCTTGGGCGGGAGCAGGTCCAGGAGCAGGTCCACCATAACCCCGAGCAGCGGCGTTCGGAGGTGGCTGGAATGAAGGTTGGCTGGTCTGAGGAGAATACTAGCACTAAGTCAGAGAGGGATGGAATGCGAAGGTAGCAGAGCTCCTTACCTGGGCCATGTTAGGATACGCGTTATAACCTGAGTTGGGCATCATTGGAGCAAAAGATTGCGTCGGAGTGGTGTTGTAGGGAGGAGGCTGTATCTGATTCGAATAGGGTTGTTGAACCGGAGCCCCGTACTGATTGGACACAGGGACGTATTGCGGCTGCGGCATCCAGGTCTGTTGCTGAGGACCCCAGTACGGGGTATAGTTGTGTCGTGAATCGAAGCTGTCCGAATCGTCACGTCTTTGCTTCCCAGTCTTGCCCCTCTTTCCAGCATTCGATTTGTCTCTCGCCGAGACGGAGCTGGCTCGTGAAATTCCATTTTCGCCCTCGTTGTCTGCAGTAGCTGTCAGCCGGAGGTGTCCACATTACCACATCTGTGACAACATACCAGGGGTTGACTCTCCGGTCTTCTCCGAGTTGCCAAAGATCCTCTCTCGGGCCTGCTTGTAGGCCTCCTCACGTTGTTCTCTCGATAGCCTGTTCTGGTCAGCAAAGAAAACTACTCAGCCAAGGGGTAATGACGCACTTTTGATTCCCAGCCGCATTCTTGTCCTTGGAATCACTTCCAGTTTCGGACGTGGGCTTCGATGGCGAGGCGCTGGCGGTTGCAAGCTCCCCATCCTCACCACGTCGCATGATCTTCCTGGGGAGAACGGCAGGAGGCGGTGGCGTCTCAGCACTAGTTTCCGGAGCCGCAATACTAGCTAAAGACTCGGGAACTCTGGCGTACGGAGTTCTGAAGATTCGCACAGATCCAATTCGTGCTTCATATTGATGCGTCATTCGATAGTAATCAGCCAACTTGTGGGTTAACATTCTGCAGAATGAGTTGGATGGAGGAAAATCCATATAAGGTTCCCTGTATTTGTCAGTACGATGCTCCGTTACATTTGGCACCGGGACTTACTTGGAATTCTGAACAAACTTGATCAGTTCCGCCTCTAATCTAAGCAGAAAAAGTCGGTCTTTGGGAGACGCCATGGCTTCTAAAAGCTTTTCATCCGGTGCCTGCCCGTAGATCGTGTTCAAGAGATTGGCGGAGTCGGGTAAGTTGGCCGACAGCGCATTCGCAGAAGGCTGTTGCTGATCTGAGGACGCGCTCTGTGGCGTAATCATGCCCTGGCTCAATGATCCAGATACGGGTTGGGCAAGACGGCGGTCTGGCATGTCGCCGAGCTGAATGATGCCTCTAGCACGCGCGGCGATGTCTGACCCCATCCTAGAGTTGGGCAGGTTCGGCCCGCGAAACGAGAAGGCGTCATCGTCTTCGGCAGCAGCAGCTTTCACGCTGGCACTGTCATCAGGACGCAGCGATTCCTTCTCATCAAGCGCAAAGGTAGTTCCTGAAGTAATGCTCTTCCCGTCTAAACTAGCAGGCTTCGTTCCAAGCTCGGAGCTTGAATCCGCTCTCTGAGAATCATCCGATCCATCCTTAGTTGCGGATTTTGATCTCTCGGTGAACGTTGAGCCCGTTCCGTTAACGACAAGACTGGGAGTTCGTCCAATGTTCAAATCCTTCAGTCCATCGACGACGGGGTCGCTTGAGTCGGGCTTCTTGGGCGGAGATGGCTCGCGTTGAGTGGCCGTCGATGCGGTTTTCGTAGAGCCCATGACGGCAGATGGGTGGTTATCGGCGCCGTTTGCAACAACAGGTGTGGGGGCGCCAGTCAGCGCAGGCTGTTCAGGGCGTTCTTGGGATGGCGCGGCGACTCGTCGCACGGTAGTGACAGGAGGATAATCTTTCGATGCTGAAGCAGCGACCTGAGAAAAGTGATCGTTAGCACGCGGCGCAAGGTAGGAGCTCGTAGCCTCGAAACGAACGATAGACCGGGGAGGTATGCACCTTTGCGAAAGATGGTTTGGGTATGTCCGTTGGCATTTGGGCGGTAGCCATAGCTCGAGTCGATGGCTAGAAGGAGTTTGTAGGGCGTTGGATAATAGGATGGAAGTGAAGGTCGTCGTCTGATGGGTATAGTTGCGCTGGAAGACAGCAGCGCGCGGGGGGGACGAATTGAATTTCGGCTCAAGAACGATTAAAGACGGTATCCGAAATCAAGGAACAAAATGTATCAAGGCGGGCCTGCAGAGCGAGAAAGAAGTTCCGTGGATCATTGTCGGGAGAGGGCTGTCATCGTTGCTGTCGTATTTCCCGTCAAGGTGTTGATATTTGATGGCGCCGGTACTCTTGTTCGTTGGAGAAACTGGCTGGTTGATGATGTCCGACGATGCCTCGACTAGGTCTGCGCCTGGCGGCTATCTGTTAGCGGCTGTAGCCAGAGCTTGTTCGCAGCAAGACGGCGGTAGGGCGCACGGCAGGTTTGGCGAGGCGGCCAGATTTTCGGCGGGCTGCGAGGCGGATAGACCGTCACAAGCAGGAGTCAAAGGAGGGGGTGGTGGTGTGGGTGGTGTGGTGTGGGCGACGTTGGTGGGAGGAATTGGGAAGAGAGCTGTGTGGGTTTTTGGATTGCGCTGGAAGGGGAAAAAGAGGATGGGGAAACTGGAGAAGGCGGAAAGGAAGCGACACTTTCGCACCTTACCTCACTCACTCACCCACAGAGGCTCGCCAGCTGTCTTGCTTGCTTCAAGCAATGGATGAACAGACAGGGGGCTATAAAGTCTGGAAGACAACAAGAAGGTTCTTCCTACTTTTCAATTTCGGGTCCTCTTCCGCTCTCTTGCTCTCTCACTGAGACCTTGAGTCGCTTAAAGTGCTCTGTCTCGCGTTGCGTGTTGAGCCGTGGGTCTGTTCGATCGCTCCCCTCGGTCGCAGAGCCGGAGTTGAGGAACAAGAAGCTTAAATGCCGACAGGTCCTTGACGTGCGGATGGTGGTCTCAAGTCGGTACAGATGGTGTCAGACAACTGCCATCCCCCTCCGCAACGTCTTGTGGGACGTCAGGCTGAAGAATGAGGTATGGTCACAGATATTCTGGTGAGGACTGAAAAGGTCTCGGGCCTGAACTGGCTGGCGAAAGACAAAAAGGCCACAGCCTGAGCCAAAAGTGGCTTAGTCCCGGCAGATTCCTAACTCTGGAGTGTGGCTGGTGCACCGCTGGTGCACTCCACTGCGAAAAGGAGGCTGGAGGACCCAAGCCAGGCGAAGCGCGGTCACTTTTCCGTCACTGGCTGCTTTAGCGATGCCAGCTGGCACACTTACGTAAGGCGTGCCGTAATTCAGGGTCCACGAGCAGTCCAGCACTGCTGTCACCTGTGGATGTGACGTCTCCTTCTGCTGTTCGCGCCTGCCCAAGCCTCTTTCGGTCGTGAAATAATCGATGCCCCGGGCCCGTACACTCACTGGCTTGCAAGTCTCAGCTCCGTCGGCAAGAGTTCACACTCATCCACAATCACATCATTAGCCACAACGACGCTGTTACACCCAAGGCTTAGACTCACAGCAACTGGGCGAAACGAAACATTGTCCGACCCGAACCCACCTGCGACACTGCAGATATAGGCCCTGGAATAGACGACAACCGAGACTGACAGACTGGTGCGGGACGCCAGAACATCAACAATCGACGTCTACCAGCGGAACCCACTATCATCGCCAATGCATTCCTATAGAGGACGCGGCGGCCCTCGCCAGCAAACCCCGGCCAACGTCCAGTGTCAAAAGTGTCTGAAGAGAGATATGTACAGTACTGCCAGCGGCATCGCGAACTCACGCTGACTTTCGCAGAACGTCACTATTCATATGAGTGTAAAGAGTCAGCTGCAGCCAGACCCTACGTGTCTCGGCCCTCTCGAACGCAGCAGCTGCGCAATCCCAAACTCATGCCCAAGCTGACAAATGATGTGCCGGATGACGCGCAGAGAAAGTCAGTTACACATATCAGCTGAGCGCCTGTTTTCGTTTATCGCTAACCAAAGTACAGAAAAGGTGTGGCGGATGAGGAGCTTGCGAAGAAAGAGGCTGAGAGAGCCAGGAAGCGGGAATTGGAGGAGCGCGACGAAGAGCTCATCAGGCAGACAGAGGCGAAACGTCAGCGATCGGAGTCGGTTGATTCTGTTTCCACCATCTCGACCAACCGTTCTGCCTCGCCGCCACCCAAACGTCGTTCCCCGTCACCCGCACCCGCTCGCCGCAGCTTGAGGTCTCCTGAAGACGGCTACGGAAGTCGACGCAGGTCCTTCAGCCCCGAAAGCGATGATGATCGCTCTGTATCCCGGAGGTCTGCAAGAAGTCGGCAAACGCAATCGCCGCCTCGCCGCCGCCAACGGTCTCTTTCCAGAGACAGCCGCTCTCCTCCTGTCAACAGTGCCAGGAGATATCGCGAGAGAGGAGACGATTACGCAAGACCCGCGGCCAGACAAAATCAGGCACCCCAGCGTTCTCGTGAATCTCCTGGCTCCCGAGAGTCTTCAGTATCGCGTGATGGTGGTGTTCGTGGCAATCGACGGTCTTTGTCCTCATCTCCTGACCGACGGGGCCCAAGATTTGACAATCGTTCAAACCGAAGCGGCGAGAGAAATTTTAGAGGCGCGTCAACTGGCCGATTTGGACGAGGCGGCAGGAACGACAGGCAAGAAAGACAACCGGAGCAGAGACAACCCCAACGCGAACGCAGTCTCAGTCCATTCAGCAAGAGACTGGCCCTGACGCAGTCGTTGAATACGGGCAGATAGCCGTGGGTATCAATTAGTTGTAGAATCGGTGACATACCCGTCCCCAAGACCATAATACAATGTACTTTTAATGTTCGCATACAATGCCTTGTTCAGACGGCCAGGTCTTCGTCCAGCTCCCTCTCGCGTCGCTCCTCTTCTTCTTCCTCCCTCTCTCGCACACGCAGTCCCTCCACTAATGCGACGCCATCTACTCCCGACGCGTTGCCTTCTCCGCTTCCTCCCTCGACCTGCTTCGACTTCTGAGCATTGGTAATGCGCTCTCGTACGAGTCTTGCAATGGCGTTGTCCGTCCTAACATTGAGAACCTCCAATTTCTTCTCCAAGTCCCTCTTCAAATCCCAGTTCGGCTTCTTCGGCTGGAGCTTGAACAGATCGATACCCTTGTCGTCCTGCGCTTCCTCGGCTGCTTTCTCCTTCACGTCGGCTTCGATGTCTGCCGCCTGCTCCTCCAGCGTAGGCTTGTCCAGGTCTTGTATCGGTGGTGCCTCGAAGCCAAGCTTGGGTCCTCGCACTTCGGGGTCGTAGTTGCGGCCCGATAGGTGTATCCTTGTGACATCGTTCTCTATTGCCGGTGCCGACCCCTCACGTTCTGACTCTGGCGGCACAACTTCGTCTCCGGGTTGTTTTCTCTTGAGATTTTTGAGCTTCGCAAGGCGGGCCTTACGATCGTCGGCGGCCGCGCTTAAGCTCGCGTGTGAGCTCATTGTGGCGTCGTAGGTAGATTTGAGTGCTTGGGCGTGAAGTGACGGGTTTTCGATTCGCTGACCTCTCGAGTGGTCTGAGAGTTGCGTTGCTCTCTTAAGATAGGTTTGGATCAAGTAGGCCGCGAAGTCGGAGGTTGCCAGTTGGGAAAGCAGATTAGTTTCGTTATGGGCTGAAATTTATTGAGGTAGAGAGGTAGACCAACTGGAAGCTGGAACGCGGCGCACGGCAGGATTACAATGCTTCCACATTGCGCTAAGAAACGGCTGCACGGACTAATTGTTGGCACCTGCCGCTGCGCTTAAGCGCGAAGGTAGTTAGCAGGGGTTCGGATCTCCCCGGCGTCATCTGAAAATCTACATTCAACGCTCAACGCTCAAATTTCTCTTTAATTTTCTTACAGCAATCCATCCAGACCATACGCTGGATCTCTCAGTCTCACTGGCCCTTTGATAAACGCACCTACACATGCTCCGGGCCATTATTTGCAAGCCATGTCTGCAGCGATATCAGCAGCTTGGCCTTCGGCCTTTCACCACGTGCAGAGGCTATTTGCTGCCTCAAGATGCCGCACGTGAGGGGGACAAATTCATACAGTTTATCAACAAAAAAACAGAAGCTGCTCGCAAAGAAAAACTTCAACACACCACAACTTCTCCGCCTACAGAGCAACAGGGATTAGGCACGCAGAAACCTACCGTACCAACAGCTTCGTCTCCTCCTCACATGGTCAAATTATGGGTTCAAGAGTCGAAACACAACAAAATCGATCAAGCCATCCGCTGGAGTTATCTGCACCATGTACTCGATAAAAACCAAGCCAACGCTTGGGGAGAGTGGAAGCATGGCTTCGCGAACATCATCGAATGTCTGGCGGGACACGCAACCAGCAATCCAACGGCTCGACTCCTCGAAGGCGAAGCTTTCGAGAGCGCCATCAACGATTGGTCTTCCTGGGACAACAGGGAGAGAGAGGAGCTATTCAACACCGTTATCCTTTCTGCGCTGTGGTTCTGTCCTGGTAGAGCAATTGATGTCCTGCAGACTATCACACAGGATTGGCAGCCGCCAGCTTATGCCATGGTAGATGTCATCCACTTCCTCGCCATGTGGCAAATAGAGCTTCGCGGAGATGAGCTCCAGGCTCACGCTGCAGCTCTGTGTGACTTCGTGATGGGGCATGAGTTTCTCGTGCGCAGGCGCGATAACGGGCGTTTCGAAAACATGCGTTTTCGGCAAAACACCATCCACAATCTTATGAGATACGTCGACCCTGCACGAATACATGCCCTATACGAAGTCTTATCTAAACAGGAGCATCCGCTGCATCTTAACACCCTCTTCAAATTTGCTCATCGGCTATCTTCGGCGCCGGTTTACAAGCAAGCGTCACTTGAAATAGCTATCCGCGCAATGCAAGCAGAGGGCAAAGAAAAAGGAAAAGGACAGGCCATCGGAGACCTCCAAGGTTCAGCTTGGCGAAGTCTTTGCACATCAATATTGTCTTTGAATCCCGGAGACGTCGCACACGGCGAATTTTCGGCCGCGGATGCGTTCAGCGTGCTACTAGAGCATGGTTTCGTCCCCAACATGATCAACTACACGGCAATGATTCGAAACCTATGTTCATCGGGCGCAACTGACAAGGCTTGGAAAGTCTACGAGGCGATGAAGGGGAGTGGTATCGAGCCAGATTCGGTACTTCTCAGTACCCTGCTTGACGGCGCCAAGATGGAAAACTTGTCAGGGGTCATCAACAAGATTGTGGAGGAAGCCATCCGACTCAAAGCTGTCGACACTGTCTTTATGAACGACCTCTTGTACTCGATCCTTCACTTTTCTGAACTTGAGGCCAATGAGAAGCGGAAGCTAGGTCGGGCTGGCGTCATACCAGCCTTCGGCCCCATGCTTTACTACTACTCCAAAGCCTTCAACCTAGCCCCTTTGCAGGCTCTTATTCCTATGAACCTGTCCATGCACGTTCAGCAATACGGAAACAATTTGCCCCCAGAACGGCAGTTAGCTCGGCAGGTGTTTCCCGGTCTCGACGCAGCTACTTCCGCGGTCAGGAAAAAGATGGACCCGACAGCCTCCACGCTGGGTATCATGTTCATCGCCTTCGTCAAGAATCTTGCGCAACCGATTAAGCTCATCTCCTTATACGCCTACCTCCGACAACTGATCATCAACAGGCATCCTATGGCAATACAGCACGTTAAAGAGAAGGGCACTTTCATGTACGACGTGATTCTCAAGGCCCTAATGGGCCACAAACACATGCAGCGACCAGCGCTGGACATCGTCGGCGACATGCTTCATGATACCCTCGCGGAACGGGAGGCCAGCGAGAAGGAAACAAACGCCAGCCAAGAGACACAACTCCATCCACCCCCAAGCATTTACACCTGGAACATTCTTCTTGCCGGGTTCCTATTCAACCGAGACAAGGAGACTGGTGGCAGGATTCGCACGATGATGATGCAAAAGGGCGTCGAGCCGAATGAAGTCACCTGGAACACCCTCATTTCAGGCTACGCTGGACTGCAGGATGTCGGAAAGACAGTGCAATCGCTAAAAGGCCTCGAGCGTGCCGGCTACGAGGCGAGTGATTTCACTATCAGGGGTTTCTCGAGGTTGGTGAACAAGGAGAGGGCGTTTCACCACATGGAGAAGGGCTTGGATCTGGCCAAGGTCAAGGAGAATGCGGCAACCATGACGAGTCTGGAGCAAGCCGCGCCAGACAATATCAGTTCCAGCGCCTGGAGAGTGAACCTGGACGACCGACCCCCAAACACGCCGAGGCACCCGGTTCGGATCGTGAAGGTGAAGTATGGGAACCAGTTGTTTCGAAAGATCGAACGCCCGGGGCCAGTGTCTGAGAAGACAAACAAGCAAGGGATGATCAGATTTGTATAATAGAAATGATACCAAGCGAGAGAGACAGGAAACATTCGCCTCTCGGAAATGAACCTCGTATGCGCTGATGAAATACATTCAGTCTATTGATTATGCGATAAGTCCTTCCGCACAGGTGATTTCAATCTCACTTAATTGCGTCGCGCCGAGTAGAGACGTTCTAGGTGTCTGTTCAGCTTAGCATATAAGGTAGCGCTATCCTCACAGCAACTCATCTCCTAGATTAATTCGCTGTCTCTATATTACATAGCAAGCGACGCGCAGATTCTGCGTAAGATAGAATGCCTACAAACCTTATACTTAAGGATTAATAGAATGAGAGGGTCAAAAGAGTTCACCCCCGGTGTCGAACGGGGGCTACATCTCTTAGTGCACATGCTGGGACATCTCGCTTAGGTCGATCGATCAGGGAAGGGAGGGGCTCGGTATCGGTCGGTCGGGAGAGGGTCAGCCTGTCGTCGAGTAGGCATCGGTCGGTCGGTATCGGTCGGGGGGAGGGCAGCCTGTCGTCGCGTAGGCATCGGCGGGTCTCGATCGGGTTTCGAATGCTCGTCCTTGGACTCAACAGTTTGACCTGAACCACTACGCCTTAGTGGAATGCCTTCTGCTGTCGGTGAGATCTCTTGGGGACCAAGCCGTGTAAGTATGTCCTCTTCGTTGTCGTCGTTCTCAATGGGAAGGAGCGGGGGGTAAGGGGGCTGGGTGAAAGGTGAAAGGTGAGTTTGAGCTGGGATGAAATTCGCTTGCGACAGGCAACCATCACAGGCATGTGGACGGACTTCAGAAGTAGATTTTCAAGGTTGGGCCCGAGTTCAGGTCTGCTGGAGATCTCACTGGGAAAATGCTCTATGGAAAAGGGGCTGGGCGTGAAGCTCCAGGAATGGAATAGACTGTACCGTGATATCAAGGGACGAGATGGGGAGGTGCTCAGCGCGACAAAGAAAACATTCTAAGAAGCATTGGTCAATAAGCTACTCGAAAGTGACCCGGATCAACTTCGAATGATTGTGTGCTATGCTGTGGTATTCTTCTGGTAGTGATAACGATCCACAAGACTACGCCTCCTTACCCCTGAGATCACCCAAAGAAACCAAATTTCTCCCTATATCTACGACACGTAGGGGCTCAGCTACAGTATATCATTACCCGAGCCATTCTGGATACTACTAGCCTCGTCTTTGTAAATCTTCGCGGCTAACACGTTACTAGGCAGAGTGACTTCGAAAGAGGACGTGCATGCCATAATCCTATTGGAACGCAAGAGGATTGACGATGCAAGAAATATAGTATGTCCGGTCTATACCTGAATCGAAAAGAATATCTTCTGGGACTAATCGCTTACTGGTAGCAGACAGAAGTGAAGACTGGCCATAAAACCCGGTAGAGCATGCCAATTCGGACCATGAAGAGACGTAGGTTGGCGACCGAGGCGAGCTTGAGATATTAACAACAATTGCGACTGCAACATCATACCCATGGACGTGGCCGCATTATCAGCGAAGTAAAACAAGCGGAAAGAAGCTTCTTTGGGGGTGACCCGTGAGCCGCCACTCCAGAGACAGCTTTGGGTGTCCTGTAGCCCTTCCAGAGCAATGTTGGAAGGCGTCATGTTCGCAGCTTTCAACCGGAATCATGATTTAATGGTCATTGCAGGCAAAACAGTTGATCGCATTGCGTTCCTCTTACACAGCCAGCCTGCAATTAACACTGCTTTCAATGCCTCTCTCGAAGTCATGTAATAGCCATATCAGACCGACACAAGGTACTGCTAATTCAACTTTTGACATGTGCTTCGTTGACCGAGCCTCGCTATAGTAGCTACAGATGGTGTGTATATCATTACAGTCCGTTTCCCCAGCCGAGCCAACATGAGCTTATCAGACAGGGCAATCAAACGGCCCTCCTCCAGTCCCGGCATGAATGCATACCAAGGTCGTCTGACCCTCCAAACTCCTGCATGCTCTGGTAAACCAAAAACTTCCCCTTTTTTAATTTCTTTACGTGAGCTTCTGCTTGATGAAGAAGGACCGCAGATGCGACAGCTGCCAGGTGCAAGTGACGGCAAGCACGACAAGCTGGATGAGCATCCATCGGATAACACGGGCGTTGGTGGACTCGGACTGGTCACGGAATTCGGCTTCGCGCTCCTATTTGTTGGTCAGCAAGGCACCGAACAAACCATACAATACGGGAGAGACAACGTACACGCTGGAAGACCTGTTCTCTGCGAATGTCGGAAAGGCGGTTGTTAAGGTCCTTGACACGGGTGGCGATATCCTCGAGCTTGCTCTTGTCAGAGCTCTCAATCTCGCTGCTCTCGCCGATGGCGAGGTCCAGCGTCAGACGGATACCACCGTTGTGGGAGTGCTGAGAGAGCCAGCCAGCGCGGCCAGAGGTGGAGGACGGGGTGAAGCAGAGCATGTGGTCGCCGGCATCGGCGGCCGTGAAGGTGAAGCGGCCAGAAGAAGAGCCGCGCTGGGAGACGACGCGGTGGTCGTTGTCGAAGGTTTCCTGGAAAGATTTACAGTTAGGTTTGGTCTCTCATGGAAGCAAGTGCGCTTGGATCTTTGCAACTCGCAGCATCCTGGGTCTATGGAGCTCCAGAGGGATGATGCAAGCTCAGGGGGTAGCTTACATCGACAGAGATGTAGATGCTGAGACCATCGTGCTTGGCCCACTGGTTGATCCTGTCATCCCACTCCTCAGCCGTATAGTGGCCAACAACGAGCGTATCCTTAGGGAGCTCCTCAAAGAAGCACTTAGGCGAGGTGCCGTCGATGTAGAAGTAGAGCGCCTGCGCGACGGCGCTCATCGAGAGCAGGGGGAGAAACGGTCTCATCTTGTGCGACGGTGCGAAGCGAGTTGACGGGACGGGAGATTGATCAATTCGTGGGGGAGCAGTGGGTTCGCGATTTCGTGCTCGTCGACCGTTGTCCTTCTTCTTCTGCCAGGGCTCGAGGGGGTGGACGTTGGAATTGGAGATGTCGTCTCGAACAGGTAGCGCCAGATCAGCCAGTTGCTGGTACCCACAATAAAGTCCCAAGGTGCGCGGGAGGTCGAAGCTGCCACGTTCGAAAAATTGGCGGCCGACAAGGGTGGCATTGACCTTTTACAGGTGGGTCACGTGCGGTTCAGAAAGAGAGCCTGCGCGCTGGATGCGACCTCGCGTCGTCGATTTGAGAGAATGCAGCACTTCTGGGGCCCTTGCCGCCATTGATCAATCGACCTTTTTCAATTCTCTCCATCATTGCGCACCACGACACGACAAAATTAAAACTTTAATACGAGAAAATTCCTGCGAAAATTTTGATACCCATATCCTTGATGCACGCGCCCGACTGGTGATGATTTGATGCGACCAAGTCGACCCGTCGCCGTCAATTAAAAATCCACCTCGACTGGCCGCCCGATCGTGAACGAACGTCCTTTCCACCGACTCACCTCTCTCTGCCGCCACAATGACTTCCTCCGACGTACGAGACGTGCTGAATCTCCCCGATAGCCATGGTGGCCCGCGCCCAGCAAAGAAGCAAAAGACCTCGGCCCCGCGCCCCAACCTGAAGGGTCTTGCGCGAGAGGTTCAGAACTTGGGCGGCGATAATCCTATCGCAATTGTACCTGAGGTCTCGATATTCAAGAAGCGGCGATTTGCGAGCAGGAAACCGGCCTCTAAGTGGGTGCTGAAGTCGTTCACAAACTCGGCACGAGGCGACAGCGGCGCACTGGTATTAAAGCATTGGCGGAGGAAGACGACAGGACCCGAGAATGGTGCGGTACCGGCAGAGGGCGATGCGGAAATGAAGGACGCGGATAGCGAGGCAGCTGCGAAGCCGGAAGACTCGTCGTTTGCTAAGTACAACGTCGAGGTAGATGTGCCGCAGTACAGCGAGGACCAGTACAGGACAAACCTGCAGAGCGACGACTGGACCAAGGAGGAGACGGACTACTTGCTCACCCTGGTCAAGGACTTTGACCTCCGATGGCCGATCATATGGGATCGTTACGACTACCTACCAGAGGCCATCAATGGGGAGGCTTCGGCGGACGGGGACGAGAGTAAGGCTATCATCCCCGTACCAAAGCCGAGGACAATGGAAGATCTGAAGGCACGGTATTACGAGGTTGCTGCAAAGATGATGGCAGTTCAGAAGCCCGTGCAGTACATGACTCAACCAGAGTACGCCCTCCATGAGCTGATGGCCAATTTCAATCCAAATCAGGAGAAGATGCGGAAGGACTTTGCGAACAACGCTCTTACGAGATCCAAGGAGGAGGCCAAGGAAGAGGAGTCCCTACTGCTGGAGATCAAGCGTATCCTCGCGCGCAATGACCGCTTCAACGAGGAGCGTCGGGAGCTGTACAACCGCCTGGACTACCCGCATACCGACCAGGACATCAGTGCCTTCAAGTCAAGTGCGGGGCTTCAGACACTGTTGCAGAATCTGATGAACGCCGACAAATCCAAGAAGCGGAAGTCTATCATGGCGGCAGACGGTGCCAGCCCTGCTACGCCTGCAGGCCAACAAGCTGCAGCGCCAGAGAACGCCAACCGTCGCGAGAGCATCGCCGCCGCCGCCGCCGCCGCACCTGCGGAGAAGCCACACAAGGAGCCCCCCAGCAGCGCTGCTCAGACACCGACAGCGCCCGCCGGCGGCAAGAAGGGCCAGCAGCAGCAGGAACGCCGCAAGCTCTCCGAAGCCGAGCAATTTGTCTATGGTGTTTCGCACCACGATCGCTTGTCCAGCGGTCCAACGTTCCGATATGAGAAGATCAACAAGCTGTTCACTCACAAATCTAACCAACAGCAGTTGCGTATCATGAACACGCTGAATGAACTCGACATTCCGCCGCGGCTTGTTATGCCCACTGCCGCGGTCACTGCCCAGTACGAACAGCTGTTGGGTGCCGTTAATAGCTTGCTCGACGCTAGAAAAGTAACGGACAAGGTTGATGCCGAAGTTAAGATTGAGATGGCCAAGAAAGCAGAGCGAGAGAAGGCCAACGCGCCACCAGAGCCTGAGACGGGCTCGGAAACTAAGGATGGCGAGGAAGTCGAGAGGCCTGCTGAGAAAGAGGGAGACAAGCCTGCGGAAGGGGAGAAGAAAGCAGAAGCGGCAGCCGGGGAAGCTGCAAAGACGGACGAACCGAAGACCAACGGCGAGCAAGACAATGCCGAGGCAGCCCCGACCACGAACGGCGAAGAACCGGGTGCTGCGCCGGACGCCGCGGGCGACGGCAAGGGAGACGCGGATAAGGAAAAGGAGAAGTCGGCTCGGCCGGGGAGTAGCGGAGCATCAAACAAGCGAAGCGCAAGCGTACTAGATGGCGGTGGCGCAAATGACGACAAGAGCGCGAAGAGGCAAAAGAAGTGAAGTATCGTCGAGGTACCATCTGACAACGAGGTACTTGTCGACGCTAGGCGCTGTGATGAGGTAGCCGAGATGCGTCACTCATAAGCAGGGACGAGGTTGAGGAAGATCCTCGAACGAACGAGAGCATCTTTACCACCCCTGGCTCTATGGTGCAAGTTGCGAGAGGGGTGGATATCGCTCGAGGGCCGCATGTCTGGCCCGGCGTCGTGTCAGGATTGTTTGTAGAGATAGTGATGCCCAAGGGTTTACGAGCATTGGAGGAGAAACACCCGCCTCTAGATCCGATGACAGGAATAGAAATTTGAAACGACGAGATGAAAAGCAATTGCGGTCCACACCCTTGCTAGGTGATGCCTTGCGTGGGGGATGTGATGTGGGCAGGGGGGGTTCTCTGGATGATCGGCCCATGTCTTTTGCTTGAGCGAGGTAGCAGTCATGATGAAACGGCCGAGATAACGTCGAGCCCAGCCGGCGAGCCATATGGGCCACTGCATGATGTGAGTTGACGGGGATGCATACACGCGGCGGAAGGAGAGGAGGAGGCTGGTCTTGTTTCGGTGCCCGCCTTCTGTGGTCCCGCGCTTAGAAGTGCGCCATGAGATGATGTCAGGGGTGGCGGCAGGTCCGATGTTCCTTCTGAGACAAATGAAAGTGGAAATGGAAAAGGGGACTATGGCGGAAGGGGCCTTTGCCTCCTTTGTTCTTACGACATGGAAATCACGATAGATAAGGAGGGAGGGGGTTTACAATGGGCGGATGGGCATTTGAAGTTGAGCCGGGACATGACGTCTCATTAAGCAAGATGCAGCTCATCGGCGGCTGCAGGTGAGGCGACTGGCTTAATATAGCAACGGCAGCTAAAAATATCGACGTGGAGAGGCGGTCATGTTGGACTGACGTGCTGCATGCTTGCTCCGTCCCCGGACGGCGAGGTGACGGCAGGGGGTGGTTCGGGCAGATTGGTTTCCCTGAAGGGGAGAGAAGGGTTCACGGGTTCACGAGGGCGTCCCGGATGTATGGTCCTGCATCGTCGAGGTTGCTCGAGCGGCCCAATGACGGGAGGTCGTCTGGACGAACTTGGTGATTGTGGCTCTTTCGACGCCACGATCAAGCAGGTTGGTTTGCTTTCAGGGTCTCCCGTCGGCGAGTTTCTTGTGAACACACGGATGGGGTGAGGCGTCTAAAGCAGGTCGCGTATTTGCCCATCTGGAGATCTTGGTCTGCAGGGCGTGGGATAGGTGTTCGTGGGGATGGCGGTGTGGTGGTGAGGATGGTCGATGAGCGTGACGCTGAGGGGGTCCCGCTAGCATGGCCACGGAGAATACTGAGGGGCGTCACGCTGATGATGACGACTGGATTGTTGACTTGTTTCTGCGGGAACCTGTTGCTGGGCGCATAGAGAACCTGGCGGCTAGGGAAGAGAGTCTGTGAAGTGGAAGTTCGTCGAGATGGAAGATCGCCAATCTCGAGCTAGGGCGCGGCCAAAGCATGTGGCATGTGGCATGTGGTTGATCCCGGGAGTTATTAATAGGTTGTAGACGCTCCGGTGCTGCAGAGATCCCCGCGATATGATTAAATCCCATGTGGGGGACAGGTTCCAGAAAGAAGACAAAGGCGAGCAGGACTTGATGTTGAAAGAAGATGTTGTCGTTGAGTGAGCGCTTAATGGGCGCTTAGACGGAAGCGAGACACGCCATTGGCTGAAGGAGGGTGGACTGCCAGGTATCGTGTGATGGAGATGCGGTGCCGTGCATTCTCGGAGAATTTGATGATCCAATATTAGAAACAATTGTTTCCTTCATTTGCAAAAGACGGGAGCTTCGTTCTCGCTTTGGCTGCCAGATTTCAAGTCGTTGCGTGGCAAGTGGGTAAGGTCGTGGCAGGTAAGTAATGTAAGTGGTGAACGGTGGTGGAAAGTTGCGGTCAAAATGAAGACGACGGGAAGCATGCCCTGTCCCTGCCAACAATTCCGTCCCAATGAAGCATGGGCCAACCAGCTTATCTCAGGTCAGCATACGTGAACAGTCACGTGAAAATACTACTTCCATGAGGTGTCTGCGAAGGTGCAAGCAAGAGAGACGCAGATGTTGAGGCTTGTGGCAGGAATAGTAATCAAGATGCATTGCAATCTTCCATGAAAGCAGGTGCAATCACAGACAAGAAGACACTGATGGACGAAAACCAAAGTGCATCCTTCCCGTCGTCAGGGAGCAGGTACGTACCGCGATGGGCGTTCCTGGTGCACCACGCGGGCCAGTGGCCCTGGCACCAGCTGGACTGACATGACAGGCAATAACGGATGTGAAGGTACCTGAGGACTTGTCTTCAGGAGCGGCGGGCGGGGGCGACCTGGGCGTTCCGTCGGCAAACACGCGTCTAGGTAGACGGGCTCGCTAGCCCCCAGTTTACCTACGGGCTACAGGCTAGGTTGGTACCAACCTGGAACGTCAAAAGCGGCTCCGCGGCG